GTGCAGTGCTCATGCCACTAGGCTATGAAAGAAAAAAGTCAAGTGTGTTGCCGCAGAATCGAGCATTGTTGCCAGACTGGAGGCTGACAAACATGTATAATATTGAGCTACATGATAATTACAAATCATGAAAATTCTAGAAATCATTATTAAAGTTGTATGTGGGCATTTACCTTCATAGCTAAAAAAACCCACACATTGGAAATATAGGATGAGACAGGCAGGGTTGTTAAAATTCAAATTTTGCCATCTTCTTAGCCTGCAATATGACAGAAGGGTTCGGTTGTCTTAAATTGAATGAAGATGTGGAAAAGAAAAACCCAGCCCAACCTGTAAAATTATTTCTTTCAATATGTATCTGAGTTTATATAAATCCTTCTGCATTGTTGACAGACCTTCTGGTTTCTTGGCATAGCAGGTATTCATATAATGTAAATCATTGTTATGTGCTAGGAAAGTCTCTTAATGCATCTCAAATTCTTCGTCATGGGGTGAGCCTGTGACCTAATAGCCCAATTCTCTCGTGTTTCAAAGGGTCTTTCCCTGCCCAGTTCTACTTACAAGATGAAACACACATCATTCAAGTGGAATAACAACCTACCTGAATACAGAAGAAAAAAAAACAGCCTGGTGAAGAATAAGTATCTTCCTTTCACACCATTTAAAATCCATATTCCATGGCACAGTTCATTTAAGGAGGTATTTTGATTTGTTTCTTTCCAATTACTAGAAATAATCAAGTTGAATTATTACAGCAAAATTCAAACTACACAGCTGTATCTAGAAACCATGGTTCTAGATTGTTAAAGGCCAGGTTTTTAGTGAAACAGAGTGCCTTCCTTTCAGTAGCAAATAAAATGCAATTAAAAAATTCTGAAAGGAAGAATTCTGGTTTCCAATTCCAGTTTTGCTTTGGTCTGTAAGTTTACAAATTAACCCAAATGATTCTTAAGTTTCCGTATTGAATTGCATGCTGTTTGTGCAAGGCTTTGTAACCCCAATTTGTCACTGATTGAAAATATTAATTGAATAACCTAGCAGAGCACAGATCTGCTCCTATAGTCTGCAACTACTTTATGAGGTCTATTGTATACAGTTCAGATACTGAAGAAATCTGAACGTATAAATACTTGGGTCCCCAAAAGATAAAGACATGTGCCTAACTTCTTCTGTCACAAACTGCAGTCTTTCTTATACTGAAATCCTCCTTACATGCTACTGGCAATGGAAAGGAGTCTTGAAGTGGATATTTAACTCATGTTTGTGTTAAGGTCTCTTTACACTGTCGATTGTTACTAAGGAGGACTGTTGATTTTAGCATTAAACGTACATAAATAAGTATGCAAAACTGGGGTTGCATTTGCTGTATCTTGCACCTGGTTTGGTTGGAAGCAGCTCGCTCATGGCTGTTAGGCAAACTAATTTGGGACTCCCATTGCATAATAATAGTGGTGTGTGAAAAAAATTCCTGATATTAATTCACATACATAGCATATTCCCTTTTTCATTTCAAAACAACCAAGTCACTGGTTCTTCTGGAGCAGCGTCTGAAAGTGCAGAATACCATATTCAGGCATTTTTGATGCTTCTAATTTTTTGTATGTAGCTGTTGAAAAAAAATCACTCTTGCACCTTTACGTACTGTGAGTTTATAGCTCTTCTGTCTTGCACTTGTGATGACAATGACCTCAGAATACCCTAATACAAAATTAGAACATTCTAAGCTCTTTAAAATAAGCAAGACTTTCCAGTTCAAGCCATTGTTTTCTGCATACCATTTCCAAATAAAAGACTTGGCATTTGGGATAGAGTTACCTTTTGTTATTGAAGAGGAAGGTTGTGAAAAACTATGTAAGTAGAGAACCTTTGGTGATACTAAATGAAATGTTTTAGTTTTCTAGTTGTTGAAATGTCATCAGCTTAAAAATGTGGTTCTGTGTGTGGTTAATGTAGAAGAAAACATATACAAAAGCTCATTGAATGTATTGCAGCTCATGCCGGATTATCAGTATCTGTGATCTGTTTAAAAGTTCCTCACTTGTCATAGGATTAATTTTGGTAAGCAGCAAGGTGGCATCTTCATTAGGCTTGGGGTGGCTTTGGAAGTTAAGATTACAGTGGCCTGGGGCGGGGCTGTTTTAGAGTTAACTTGGAAAATGTTCATCTCCTTCCGAAAGATACTCTTGCACAGTACTTACTAGTGCGTAGCAATAGCAAAAGACACTGAGGTGTCTCCAGAAGCGCAATAAAAGCTGGTGAAGGGTCTGGAGCACAAGTCTTACAAGGAGCAGATGGGGCAAGTGGGATTGTTTCACCTGGAGAAAAGGAGGCTCAGGGAGACTTACCACTCTACAATTACCTGAAAGGAGGTTGTAGCAAGGTGGGTTTTGGTCTTTTCTCTCAACTGATAAGTAACAGGACAAGAGGAAAATGGCCTCAAGATGTGTTTCAAGTGAAACAGGATAATCTATTTGTAATGCTAGTCCTCAGCATACAGCTTACAGCTGTATCATAAGATCCTGAAAGATACTGGGAAGGGACCTCAAGAGGCTCTCCAGTACCAGCACAGCATCTTCCCCCTGTTACAGACTAACTGGGCTTTTCTGATAAAACCCTCTTGAGTGAATAAATCTAGCTGTAGGAGCTGAGAAGTAAAGCCAGAACAGAAAGGAATAAGCAGTGGTTCATCTGGTGAAACCAACAAACCCTTCAACTTGCTTGAGAAAGAATCACTCAGCCTCACCCTCTCTGAGTTGTTATGAAGATCCATAGGAGAAAACAAAATTGTGTATTGAACCAGGAACTGTTTTTTTTTTCAAGCTGACTGATTTCATAAACTTGGGGAATGCTCCAGCATTATCCCCAGGTAAGGATATTCTGTCTGATCAACACCACCTCTTCACTGCCAGCAGGTTCTCCACCTGTTTGATACCAGAAGAGCATTGGTTATTTTCATGAACTTTTTGCTACTGCAGACTGCAATCACATAGTTAAAAAAATAAATAAATAACCCAGTGATATGTAAAGTACTAAGTAAATAAAAATTTCAGGGAGCCAACTGTGCACACAGTTCTGCTTTGTTTCCCATGTGACAAGGTCACGGATGTCACATTTATGCAGAGTGAAATCAGATGTGAATTTGGTTGATGAGGGCATCTTCAGCACTAAAGTAGGAGTCAAAGTCCAAGAGCAATGGGGCAGACCACATCTGGGCTACAAAGAGATATGTGCCAGAGAGAATGAGTTTGTGTGGAGGTCTCAAAACATACGAGTCTCATCTGCATGAACAGCAACATGTCAACACATAGGAATTGAGCATGGACTGAACCCATGGTGGCATGGCTTAACCCCAGCCAGCAGCTAAGCTCCACACAGCTGCTCATTCAGTTCCCCTCCTCGGTGGGATGGGAGGAGAATTGGAAGGGTAAAAGTGAGAAAGGAACTTACGAGTTGAGATAAAGACACCTTAACAATTAAAAATAAATAATAATTAAAAAAAATAGAAAATAATTTGTGAGAACACCCCAAACAACAGATAGGCAAATAAAACCCAAGAAAGGCAAGTGATGCAAATGAAAACAATGGCTCACCACCAACCCTAAGCAACCAATTGCACACCAGTCCCCAAGCAGTGCCACCCCATAATATCCCCCTTCGGTTTAATGCTGAGTATGACACCATATGGTCTGGGATATCCCTTGGGTCAGTTGGGATCAGCTGTCCTGGTTGTCTCCCCTCCCAATTCCTTGTGCACCACCAGCCTACTTGCCAGTGGGGCAGTCTGAGCAGCCAAAAAGGCCTAGAGGCTGTATAAGCACTGCTTAGCACCAACAAACAAAGGCATTACTGTTGTTCTTACTTCAAACAGATCTTCCATGGAGTGCTGGTCCTAAAGGGGTTCCTGGGAAGGGAATCTTCTTGGTTACTTCCAGAGGAAATCTACCTTAATAAAGTAGTAATGCTCACTTTATAACTTCCTTCAACATTTTTCTTGACTGTAACTCACACTATCCTGAGCATTCCGAAAATACACAGCAAAAATTATCCACTGAAAAGATGCTACAAAGCTGACTAAAAATAAAAGCCTAAATCACAGGCTGGTTTGGAAGGGACCTTAAAAGTTCATCCAGTTCCAACCCCCCCTGCCATGAGCAGGGACACCTTCCACTAGACCAGGCTGCTCAAAGCCCCATCCAACCTGGCCTTGAGCACTGCCAGGGATGGGGCTGCCACAGCTTCTCTGGGCAACCTGTGCCAGTGCCTCATGACACTCATGATGAAGAATTTCTTCCTCATATCTAACATAAATCTACTCTTTCAGTTTAAAGCCATTCCCCCTTGTTCTATCACTACACGCCCTTGTAAAAAGTTCCTCTCACATACAAAGATTTCTTGTAGGCCCCCTTTAGTTACTGGGAGGCTGATATGTCTCCCTGGAACCTTCTCCAGTCTGAACAAGCCCAACTATCTCAGCTTGTCTCCATAGGAGAGGTGCTACAGCCCTCTGATCATCTTCATGGCCTCCTCTGGACTCGCTCCAAAAGCTCCACATCCCTCTTGTGTTCAGGACACCAGAACTGCACATAATACTCCAAGTGAGGTCTCACGAGAGCAGAGGAGCAGGATCACCTCCTTCGATCTGCTGGTCACGCTCCTTTTGATGCAGCCAAGGATACAGCTGGCTTTCTGGGCTACAAGCGCACGCTGAAGCTGGCTGGCTCATGTTGAGCTTCTTACCAGCCAGCACCCTCAAGTCCTCCTCAGTCTGCCCTCAATCCAGTCCCCGCTCACCCTGTGTTCCCGTCGGAAGCCATACCACACATCTTCGTTAGCCGGTGCTAGCTCCCTGCCCCACAGCCGCTCCTTCCCACCCGCCTCAGGCCGAGCCCGTGGCCTCAGGAGATAGCGCCTCAAGAAGTAACGAAGGAGCGCTAGAGCTGGACAGCGGCCTCCCTCCCTGCCCCGCCCCGTCCCGCCTCACCTCACCTTGGCCACCGCCCCTGCCCGGCAGTTGTGGGTCGGTGGTGCTCAGACGGAGCAGCCGCGGGATGATTTTGCGAGGGCGTTTTCTTCATATTTAAAAGTGACTCTGTTTTCGTTGTTTTAGTCAGCAGCTCTCTGTCACCCGCCGGCAGCAACGGCGGGGGAGCGCAGCGCAGCGGTACGGGAGGGAGGGGAGCGAGGCGCGGGGCGGCCCCAGGTGTCGGCGTGCACTGCCTCTTACAACATGGCGGGCACGGACTCCTTCGCGGCGGTGTTGACCGCGCTGCGCGGCTGCTACGCGGAGGTCGCCCCGCTGGAGACCTTCATCCGGCAGCTGCAGGACAGCAGCTCCGGGGAGGCCGAGGTGCTGCGGGGCGACGACATAGGCTGCTACCGGACCTTCGTGGGGGCGTGCCTGGTGTGCGTCCCCCGGGGGGCCCGCGCTATCCCCCGGCCCTTCACCTTCAAGCAGGTAAGAGGCAGGCCAAGAGTGCCGGTGGCCTGCGTGGGGCCCGGGATGGCCGTATCTGCACAGCCCCCGCCGAGGAGTGAGGCCTGCTGGGGTCCGGGCGAAGCCCCCCTTCCAGTGGCTGGAGGGAGCACCAGAGCCGGTGCCTGCCCGTGGGGGGCTGCGGAAGGGCGTCGCTGCCTGCGGTAGATGGTGGCACCACGCTTCCTGTCTTTCATGCGTGCCCCTCGTGGCTGTTGCTGGGCCCCGCCAGCCCGCTCCAGCCAGCGGGGAGGGGTGTGAGTGCATTCCCCCTTCTCTTCTCCTGGAGGGTGAGCAAACAAAGGCGGCGGGTGGGTGGTTGGTTAGGTACCGCGGAAGGGCTGCGTGCCGCTGAGCCCCCGGCTACCTGCGTGCCGTGTGTGGTACGGGGGAGCAAACCGAGTGCGGCCGGGGAGCGACGAGGAATTACGAGTGCCACTTCCCACTCTAGTGAGGGGAGGTATGAGGGGAGAAATCGCTTGTGGGCCGGTAATTAAGCAGAAGAAACTTGACGGAGAAGGAAGGCCGCTTTTCTAAGAGTTTTAGAGTGCATGAGCAGAACTGCGCTATGGTAGTAAATAAGCTTGTCTTAGAATTGCGAACGAAGTCGTTTAATTGAGCTTTTCTGTACGTAAAAGGAAATGGAGGCCTCAAGAAAATCAGTGTTAGTTCCCTGGAGGTTAGAGCCTGTGTAAGCACGTGTAGGGCAGAATGACATGGAGGTCTTGGGGGCCGGTTTGCTGCGGGGAGCCAAGGGGCATAGTGTAGGGTGTTTCCTGGGCATGAAATCCACGACCAACAGGGCAGATGTTAAAAAGACTTCCTTAAAGTCATAGGCCCACGTTGCTGCACGTAAACATCTTGTGGTACACTTGAAAACCCTTCTTTAGTATTGCCCATGTGGATCACTAATACCGCTTCAAAACTTGGTGTCTAGGACTTTGTATCTTGCATGTCTGTTTATTTAAATTGTGTGTTGTGGTTTATGGAAGTGTCAGTGATAAAAGCTAGTTTTCTTTCCTCAAGTTGTCTAGTCAGAAAGAAGTTACTGCAAGAGTTGTTCAGCGACTGTGTGAAAAAAGAAAGAAGAATGTCCTCGCATATGGATATGCCTTACTGGATGAAAACAGTTCTCATCTCCCAGTCATGCCATGTTCACGTGTATACAGCTACCTATCCAATACTGGAACGGAAACTACTTGTACCAGTGGCGTCTGGGAAACACTGCTGAGCAGGATAGGGGACGATGTGATGATGTATTTAATGGAACATTGTGCAATCTTTATGCTGGTTCCCCCTAGTAATTGTTACCAAGTTTGTGGGCAACCCGTTTATGAACTTATTCCACATAATGTATGCTCACCCTCTGCATTTGTTAGACAAAGGTTTTCAAAGCGTAAACGTAGTAGATTGCTTGACTATATGCAAAAAAGGCTTGTGTTTCATAGACAGTATCTTTCAAAGTCACATTGGTGGAAAAGCAGACAAAGACTTGGCACTAATGTCTCCAGCATGGGAAGTAGAAAAAATAACAAGATACGAAGCTCGATGCCCAGTTACCGGTATTCTACAAAAGCTGTTTCTAAAGCAAGCAGACAGATTAGAACAGCTACTGAGCATCTGGAAACACAGAGTAGCTCCAGTTTGTGTTTGTCAGCTACGGTACCATCTTTAAAAAGGAAGCTTAATAGGAAACAACGTGAAATTCCAGCTAAGAGAGCAAGAGTAGAGGAAAAGGCTTGTAATCTCACTCCTGCTGTAAACCAAAGTAGTTCTGAGAGATGTGGAACTCAGTGTGTGGCATCACATTCTGCAAGTCTCATTAAAAAAAGGCACATTTCTCAAAGAAGTAACAATGATATGTCTGGTCCTTCTTTAGTTCACGCATCTCGTGACAGGAAGGTTGTTGTGGCACGTGAAAGATCTTGTTCACGAGGAGTTCAGAGTAATGAACTCTTAAAGTCCAGCACTGAAATGCAAGCAGAATCCCATAGGAAAGGAGTAGAAATGTGTATGCATGAATCTCAGTCGGATTCTGTGCAAACTAAACCTGTGGAGGGTATTTCTTCAAAATGCAAAAGGCAAAAAAGTCCTGTAGGTCATTTGGCGAAGAAGTTACCAAATAAGCTCTTGCGTTCTGCAGTGTACTTTAATAAGAAGCTGCTGCTTTATTCCTGCAGGAGTTTTCGGGAATGTTTTCCTAAATCATTTTTACTGAATCGCTTGCAGGGCTGTCAGGCAGGTGGAAGACGGCTTATAGAAACTATATTCTTAAACCCAAGTCTGTTGCAGAAAAAACACAACCAAAACCTGCTACGTCGCAACTGGAGAAAGAAGAGGTTGCCCAAGCGCTATTGGCAAATGAGACATACATTTGAGAAGCTGCTAAAGAACCATGGAAAGTGCCCTTACTTAGCTATCTTGAAAAGCTATTGCCCTGTTAAGATATCTGAAGCCAGTGTGAGAAAAACTGAGCTGCCTTGTGGGGTAACTTTGCCTGGAGAAGCAGAGGCTCACAAACAAGCGGAACAGTTTGTGAAAGAGCCTGCTAATGGTGTGACAAGCAGCAGATGTGAATCTGGTCACACTAATGTGCCAGACAATTTATGCACTCCTCTTGCAAAATCTGTGCATGAGAAGTCACAGAGTGAGGAGCAAAATCCAGGAGGGGTGTGTGAGTCTGACCTCAGGAACCTTCTCAAGCGACACAGCAGCCACTGGCAGGTGTACATGTTTGTGAGGGAGTGCCTGGAGCAAGTCATCCCTGCTGAGCTTTGGGGTTCAAACCATAACAAGTGCCAGTTCTTAAAAAACGTGAAAGTATTCATTTCCATGGGGAAGTTTGCAAAGCTTTCACTGAAGGAGTTGATGTGGAAGATGCGAGTGAATGACTGCATGTGGCTTCGTCTAGTTAAAGGTACTTCTTATATTAAAGAGCTAAGTGGTGGGGGGTGTCAGATGTCTGGTGTTCATGTTTAAGGTGGGAAGTGCAGGGTAATGAATCAGGGTTCAGAGTAGTTGGGTTCATTGGTAATAACTGTAGCTGAGAGAGCAAACTAGTAGTGTTTGTAATTAAAAATAGAAGAACAGTTAAGCCTGTCTTCCTTCCAAAACCTGAAGTTTTCATTGTTTTCGTTCATGCTTTTTGTATTTAATAGGATGGCATTTTCATCAATATGAATTCAGAACCTGAGCATTTCCAAAAAGGATCTTCCCCTTCCACCCCTACCCTCCAAATTGCAGTAACTCTGAAAATTCATTGAAGCATCACCAAAGCACGTAATGAACAAATGCAGTCTGCTTGTTGGTTACCATGAGCCTTCAGAAAGAACTAAAGGCAGATAAAACACTTGTAGCAGCATGTGTCCCTCTGCTAGTGTAGTGAGCCTTCATCCCACAGTGTGTTTGGGTTTTTTGCCACTCATGTCAACCCTGTGAGAAAGATGCGAGTATGGGAACCATGCAGTATGAGGGTTGCCCACCATCTGTCACCTTTCTAGAGCCCTCTACAAACAAGAGACCCTTACTGAGCACTAGTTCAGGTTGAGTAATTAGTGGAGCAGAGGTCACAAGACCAAGTTATCCCTGGCATTAGCTGATTGCTCCAAATTCGGTGTGAAACCGTTCAGTTTAGTCCTTGTTTCAGGTGACAGGTAAATTTTGCTTCTCTGAAGAAGTCTTTCTTCAGACACTGTTCTAAGACGTAAATTCAGGCTTGTAGCTGTGGTTTTGTAGTTGACTCCTGCAGGATCTAATGCATGCTGTCATTTCTCTGTGCTTCCATTCTCCATCTGTACAGTGTGGATTGCACTTCCATGACTATATGTTTGCAGTATTTTTTCTTTCCTGGTAATGTACTTAGTTCTACAGTAACGTGTACTGAAAAGGGTATTGCTTTTTAAAAGGTGCAGTAAGGTTCTAAAATTACTAAAGGTTCTTTGTAATGTAAGAGGACAGTAAAAATTCTGATGTTTGAGAACTGATGTCAAAAATGGAAGAGGTTACACTTCCATAAAAACCCTGTCAATTCTAGCAGACATATTAATTCTTTATTCAGAAACTCAAAACGATGTTTTTTTTAAATGCTGAGCAGTTACATATTTTAAAGTGTTTTTATTGTAAGATACACGTTTGGTTTGTAGCCATTTGGAACATCATATCTTAAAAAAATGTCTCTTATCCTCTGACCTTATTCCAGGAAAAGCAACACATAGGCTTGATTTTAATTGTCATGGAACTGCTCCCTTGTGTTTGGATTTCAAAGACACATTTCATTCCTTTGCTGCACTGTGGGCGTTTGGGTTTTTTTCCTCCAAAAGTAATAGTAATGGTTACTTATCATTTCCCTGAATTGTAATCATTTACATCTGTTGTTAGTAACTTACAAAACAAAGTATCTGGTTCCAGGACAGCTACTTAACAACATCCCAATTTAATTTGTGTATCATAATTGCATATTGCAACTCTTAAATTGGAGAATTTTCTAACAGTCATTGGATTTTTTTGATTAATGTTAGCTGCCTTGTGTTGAAGTGAGCACTGATTTATCTCCTTATGATAGTCTTGGGTGTTAAGTGCATGAGAGTGTCTCTGTCCTGAAGTGCAATAAATCCAGACAGGTTAGAGAACTGGAGACTTACTTCCATTTTATAAGTTTGAGATTTAAGCCTCGGCTGCATTGTGTCAAAATTAAACTGGTTTTAACACATTTGTGCCATAATCATTATTTGTGCTTTGCAGCTAAGATAATATTTCTGTATCATTTCTTTCTGTTGCCATGTTGCATTTTGCTAAATTTTACTCCTAAATTTAATTAGGAAAAGTATTATTGAAAGTGGCAAAAAATCAGTATTGTAGCACAGGGTTTTATTCTCTATTCACCACAGATCTATGGTCTTAAATCTGACAGCAGCTGGGAATGTTCTGGGTTCATAATTTTTGTGCTATCTAAATGTCGTAAGTGCTGATGGACTTAGGGTGATTTTTTGTTGTTTTTTTTTTTCTTTTTTGACCACAGCAGTAAGTTTTGTAAAGGATGTCTGAAATAAAGCCTAACCCTAAACTTTATTTTCATGTTATTGGGAAATCTGAATGTCATTCTCATCCCCAAGTCAGCCCAGTTTAATTCTGTTATATTTAAACCTAAGTATTTTCATTCTTTTGCCTTTTCTAAAAAACTTTTTTTATTGTAGTAGGCTGACTCCCATTTTACCTTTCCCTTCACAATAATCTTGCCATAGTGCCTCCCACAGTCGACACTGGGGGAAGAAAGTAAGTCTTTGTGCTACTTATGGCATGTATTCGTATCCTGTCAGTTTGTCACTGCACATTAATTGTGATGTTTGTACTTCAAGCTTGGGTGAGTCACATTATTTAATGACAGTGAAAATTTGGAGTGGTATTTGTGCCATTTTTTGTATTTGCTTTTTTTCCTTCCCATTAATGTCAAGCTAAGAAAGTGTTATGTGTGTTGTTTTTTTTTTTTTGTTTGTGTGTTCTGTTTCTTTACTAATACAAATAGCTGATATTTACCTTTGAATTGTTTATTGAAGGTGATCACTTTGTTCCTGCTTATGAACATTGTTTCCGTGAAGAACTTCTGGCTAAATTCCTGTACTGGCTGATGGATACCTATGTTATTGAGTTGCTCAGATCATTTTTCTATGTCACTGAGACCACGTTCCAGAAGAACTTGCTTTTCTACTACCGAAAGTTTGTCTGGGGCAAGTTACAGAGCATTGGAATTAGGTAACGCTAGAAAATGAATCAAACATTAGTAGAATATGTGGAAATCTCATGTTTTTACAATTCTGCTTTCATTTATTGCCCATTTTTCCTCCTTTTATTTGCTTAATTTCCTAAAAGAAAATTCAGTCTGTGATCGGAATGTGCACAGCTTGTAAATTCAGAAATATTTTGTGTGAGAAAACTGATTCAAATTTAGAATTCTGTGGTAGGAGGAGAGAAACCTTTGTAATAGTAAAATCCATTACAATGAGGTTTTTGGTTTGATAAGTTGATTTTTTTTTACACCTTTTAACAGTGAGTAAAGCACAGCAACAATCCCAAAGTAACCTTGGGATAGTTCATTTTAAAAATACTCAACTTGCTTCAATTGTTTTAATTATACATAATCAAACCTCTGCTGAAATGCTGTAATACTCTGCTTAGGAATACAGGCAGTAGTCTTGTGTTTTGAGGATTTTATTGAAGTGAATATTTTATTTTATTGAATATTTATCTTCTGTTTATATTTTATTTTATTGAATATTTATCTTTTGTAGTGCAGCTGTGGAATTCCATGCTGCTTTTTTGGTCTTAAAAATGCATGCATGTATTTAAGTTAGGTCATTATTTAAGATCAAATTCAAAGCAATTAAGTCAGAAAATATGAAAGATCTGAAGGCAGTTTTAATGAACAGGATTATGCACACATCTCCGTAATTCACATCTTCTGGGTTTTCATTAGAAACTGTTGGTATCTGAGAGCGCTTTGGAACTGTGCAAAATGAGCGTACCTCATATCTTGTGTTTTAATGGCTCTTTTATATGGAGAACCTTTTGCTTTCACAGTGGTCTCCTGGTCTGCAATGTTATGTGTGTGATTTTTTTTATTTTTTTTTCCCTCCTGCCCCACCACTCTCTGATTTCAGCTTGGATATCTGCAGTGCAGCTTTTCTGCATATGTGTTTGCACTGAATGGGGTCTTGACCTCATTTGCATTTGTAGCACAGAGTATGCAATTTAAATAGTAGTAGTAGAATATAATTTTCAGTCCCACATACTATGTTTGTCTGGTCTTCAAACTAACAGCCTTAGTGTTGCAATTAGTGCTTTATGTCATTTTAATGTACCTTCAAGGCTGCCTTTAGCATAAAGTATCATCAAGTACTAATTTTTATGTATTAGATACGCTGTTTTGTAGTGGAGCATCTGATTGAAAGAAAACAAATATTTTTGGGTTTAGCCCTTTTGTCCCTATTCCCAGTTTCCCAGAAAAACCCAGTGTGTAAAGACAAGGTGCTCTGAACTGAAAAAACCCTAAGCTAGGTTGATCTTGTTTTTTTTGATTTCCTCCCCACATACTTCCCTACTGTATAGGAAGTTCCACCTCCCTTTTGACGTGGGAAATCTGTGAACTGCACAATACTGGAAGGTGGGGAAGTATCCCAAAGAAGTCCTGTGCTGTGTGCCTGCTGAGGATATCCTGTGAGGTCAGGATGTTTGCTGTTGGCTAGAGGGTACATAGCTGCATGGACTTCTAATCTAATCCCAGCAGCTGTGCTTAAGCTTCACTCACAGTGCCAGGGATTTTAGCACTGCTTTTTCAAGTGTGCAGGGTAACATGAGGTCTCCTGCTAATCCATTATACTACACCTGTACAGGTAGCAAGCTGCCTACTTCACACAAGAGAGAAATTGGGTGTTGGATATACAGCTGTTTAGGGCTGCCTCGGCCATTTTGAGGCTTTCCATGCACCATCCTCTTTTACCCAGCCAGTGTTTTCAGGCATTTGTCCCACTTCTTCTGTGGGGATTGAGTTGTCTCACTTCCCAGGGGAGTATCATAACCTGTAGGGCTTTTTGGAATGGCACATTTTGTCTTTCTGAGCAGTACAAGTAGCAGGAGATTGATCCAGGTCTTTTATGTTGCATCTAGGGCATTTTAACAATATGTGTTAACTTAAAAGCAAGGGCTTTTTCTCCACCTCCTTTTCCTGATTCATTGCTTAGAAAACGATTGATTAAGCTACACTGAACTGTAAATTCTGGGGGGATGTCTGAGGTGGAAGCACATTTCCCAGTAAGATGAACTTACAGACCTCACAACCATGACTTGGGAGCCTTCCATTCTTCATTATTAGCTGACACGTGCTCATCAGATCAATTCTTTTCAATCATGTTACTGGATATTTAAATACCCCTTTTTGTATATGTATCCTGGTATTCACTTTTAATAAGTAGTAGGTCCCCTAGATGCTGTGAGTGGAACAGCTCATTATCTCGTGTAGTTCCTTCCCTGAATCTTTCTTAACATAGTTTTCAGAAGGTTCTGCTCAACTTTGTTAATATCCCTCAAGTTTATGAAAGCATGAGAAACAGCCAACTTCCTGTTGTTTTGTATAAAATATGTCCTAATTTTCAGACGTATTCAGCTAATCTGTGCTAAAATTTTCATTTGTGTTAATTAAGATTTGGTTTTAATTATCTTAATTTGCATCAAGCAGAAATGAGTACTCTTTTCCTTTTTGTATTACATTTTCATTAAGGTACCATGAAATTGTTCTGAAATTCAGATTTCCATGTCACTTTCTGCAGGGGTTAGTATTTGTAATTATCTTCTTAGAAAAATATTTGGCTTCATTTATTATAACGGGATTAAATGTTTTGACTTTCTGCCTTTCCTGTTGTTTACACTTAATGTGTATTTGTATTTTAGAAACCATTTTGCCAGAGTACGTCTACATGCTTTATCTTCAGAAGATATTGAAGCTATCCGTCAAAAAAAATATGTGACATCAAGGCTCCGGTTCATTCCCAGACCAAATGGGTTAAGACCCATAGTAAATGTGAGCAGCGTTGTTAATGCACGAGCGTTCAGCAAGGAAAGCAGAGAAAAGAAGGTTTTTATTTTCTTTATTGTTTTATATGTGTTTAATGCAGGCAACTAATAAAGCGAGTGAGCTTTTTGTTATATAAAACTAGTTTTAACATGTTGAACTGGAACATTCAAATTGGAATTACTGAATGGGCTTACTTGTTGACTTCTCCCTTCCCAGTGCTTAATTACCATTAGCCTTCAGTTCCGAAATCATGTACTTCTGTTTGCAAGCCTGTCTTAAAGAAGTGAATCTAGTGGAATGGTATGGCCTATTAGGGTTTTTTTTTCCTCTTTCTGTTCCTTCAGGTTTACTAATTGGTTGTGGTAGGCGTCACTCACCTATGAGAGTAGAAGGACATAAATCTCCATCAGTATTCTGAACTAACATGTCGTATTTGTTTGGCACACCAGCACGTGAGGATTAGACAAGTCTGTCTTGTTGGGATTTACCTGAATACTGATGGTGTGTGTTGACTAGTTGGCTTTGATGCCAGGTCAGCCCAGAGGGCCAAACGGTGAATTGGGTGTATTGCAGAAGGTCCAGGAATAGCAAGGAAGCTGGATGAACCGCGTTAGGGAGATACAAAAGAAGCTGGGAATTACTGCAGTGTGGGAACAGAGGCAGAATACACAGTGCGCAGACTAATCTGTTTAACAGGCCAGTTAACCACAAGACATAGTGGGAGCCTGATTTCACTGTCTTGCATGACTGCATTAATTGTTTTTCCTTAAGGCTGGGTCGCATCTGGTGCACATGATTGATGTTCCCCAAATGGATGATAGGTCAATGGCTTCTTAGTGCTTAGTGCTTGGTGTGTGATTCCCAAACCAGATCTGAAGTGTTACTTCTTCATAGCCTTTTTGTGGCAGTCAGAGTCTCAGATTTGAAAATATACACACAGTTAATTCAGAAATAGCTACAGTGCTTTAAAGGTGCCGGATCCTGTAGCAGATCTGGCAAAGGATGATATGACTATACTGAAGAAGATGTAGACTCAAAGTCAACCATGGTAGCTGGTCAAGTGATTTGAAGTAACCTGCTCTGGAGTTGAGAGGGAGTATCTGTATCTGCTGAAAAGTGGGAGCAATAGACTCCTGTTGGAAAGTGCTGACAAATAGCTGAGGGCACTGAGGTTTTCAGCTATTAGACAGATCTCAACTGTCAAAACTAATAAGTCCATCTATTTATCTCCTTAACTATTACACCTTGATTTCCAAGAGTTGGGTACAGAGGCTCTCTTGTCATTTGCAGGTTTTTGCTGCAGCTAAATTCAGGCTTTCTGAAAACAGCAGTTGAACAAAGTAATACATAAATTTAATCTCAGTTTTCATCTAAGTGTGAAGTCTGTGCATTGGACAGAATTTAACATGTTTCAGCATACTTTAAGGTGATTCTCTTTGATCTCTGTAGGTGCAGCAATACAACACTGAACTGAAAAATCTATTTAGTGTGTTAAATTATGAACGGACTAAAAACAGCAGTTTTATTGGCTCCTCAGTGTTTGGGAAAGATGATATCTACAGGGCATGGAAGAATTTTGTTACAGAAGTGCTTGAATCATATGATAAAATTCCTCATTTCTACTTTGTAAAGGTATGCCTTTAATTACACATTCAAACTAATTTTTCAAAGTCAACTTCTGTAAATACTTCTGTAGCTGTAATAGCTGTGATCTGACTGCATAATTATTTCTTTTTCAAAATAAACTTTTGTGCATACCTAACACAGGCTCTGGTTTGGCTTTTTCAAGATGGGGTTTGGTTGGTTTTTTTTTTTGACAGGGTGTGTCCCTGCAGTAGCATTTCCTTTACTGTATTTTTCTATGTTTGTCGTGTAGCACATGCACTGGATTTTTGCAGTTACTTTTACATTAGTGTGAAAACAGGACAAAGATACAAAATGAGTTATGCTTTTCAGTCCATCTTCCCAAAGGAAAACCAGGAAAAACTTGCTATGCATATTTGGATAAATTAATCATTTTTTTTAAAAAATAGGTCTCTTCTATCTCGCTCTCATTAGTTTCTGTTGAAAATGAATACTTGAACTGCCAACAAGTGTCTCTCCAACAAGTTTCTTCTCTTGAAAAAATGAGTGCTTGTCTTATCCCACTATATGAAGGAGTTTTTTCTTAACACCTTATTTTTTCTGTTATGTCTAGCAGGCAATCTTTTGTGCTTGAGCTCAGTTCATAGCTTTGAATTGGGGCAGGTTATACAGATGTGTATAAATTACAGAAATTTATATACACTATAATGGGGCTTCTCTCCTGTGCTTTCATATGTCAGTTGTCATCCTGTCCTGACATTACTTTCAGTGATTGTCTTGTTATCCTTCAAGCCAAAAAATCACATCATTGACCTAGTTCTGCTAAAATTGTTTTTTTTCAGAAGGTTTTGAATTTTGGCTGTGACAAGTAAAAGCAGAGGTAAGATTGCAGTATGAGTTAGGAAAGATAAAACATCTAGGTTTGCAGCTTTCCAAAAGCCTAAGATGTCACCTCCGTGATCATATGGAGAGGAAGATTTCTTAATATTTAAACATACAAATATTTAAATATTTAAATAATTAAAAATTTAAATATACAAAATATTTAAACATACAAAAGTGTCACCAATAAACTTCAGTTAAATGATTGAAGGTTCAGCGTTAGATTTAAGGATTGTGCTAAAACGGGTGGTTATCTCTTGTAAGGCCATATTTGTCGATCAGTGAGGAAAGGTTTTGCAGATAAACAATGAGTTTGTTTTGTCACATATTTGGACTGAATGATGCAATAGTTACACTCCTATGTGATTTATCCTTCAGTCTTTTTTACATATTACAATACTTGTCTTACTAATGTAGTGTTTACAGTGATATTGATGAATACATAATGGAAGATATTTTTTCTATTTCAGGCTGATGTGTCCAGGGCATATGATACTATTCCTCACGATAAACTTGTAGAAGTGGTTTCACGGATCTTAAAACCTCAGAAAAAAACTCCCTACTTCATACGACGCTATGCTGTGGTTATGATTACTCCAAGTGGAAAAGCCAGAAAGTCCTATAGGAGAAGTGTATGATATGCCAATTTTTCTTCTATTTACTGCTGTGAATAGGTTTCGGTCCAAGCAGTATTTTTATTTATAACTTTTTTTTGTGTGTGTGTCACAATATGCATTTGGCAGTTACTTCATAAACCATTTGATAATAGTGTTGGATATTTTTCAGAGGTAGCAAAGCTTCTTTTTACCCTGTAATTTTTGCATTTTTTACTCCATGTTAGTAAGTATAAATGTAAATGTATTGCAGAAATAGAGATATGTCAGGAGACATTTTAACAATAGCAGAACTGTTGGATTAAAATAATGGAATAAGGCTGGCCCTTTGACCTTCACTGAATAAAAGAGTCTGGTACTGAATTTTCTATTGCTTTTGTAATTTTTTTTTCTTTACACTCAATATACAGGTTTCTACTTGGCAGGATTTTAAGTCAGACATGGAGAGCTTTGTGTCCTACCTTCAGGAGGCTACCTCATTGCAAAATGCAATAGTAGTTGAACAGGTAAATATTGGGAGGCTTATTTTCAATTGAAATAAGAAAGCTACAGAAGAATTGGAGGAAGATTGTGTGTTTTAATTGAATGTATATATTAGGTGGTGACAGCACCTGTTTTCTAGTAACCCAGCACCTTCCATAAAAAGATTTTTGTAATCTCTTCTTTGATGTTTATAACAGGTTCTTGGTGTTCAGTGGAAGGAGCAGCAGGCAAGAAATCTGGCAAAATGCCCTTCTAGACTTTTCCCAGATTTTTTCATTGTTGCCTCAGACTTTCATTTTAACCAGTATTTTTTTTCCTTTCCTAATTCCATTGTTTGTTTCAACAGTTCTCAAGTGAAAAATTAGCTGTCTAATAAAGAAGGGCTTCAACACTTGCTATCTCTAAAACAAGCAGAAGTAAGAATGAGCAAAATGCATCCTAAGCTAAGTAGCTGAGGAAATAGATGTGGTATCTTGAATAGCAAACTGCACAGAATAGAAAAATTACTTAAACAAAAAAAAAACAAAACAAAAAAATTGACAACTTCAATGATTACCTGTCAAGGTTGAGAAAAATGAACTCTTCTTCAGAGGACACTTTGTTACAAGAAGCACGCATCCTTCTGCCGTTTTGATTCTTGTGTTGCAGGGAACTGTACTAATTCCAAATGGTTGTTCTCAAGATTTCCTTCTGTGCAAGGAGCATGACAGAGAAAGTCATAGAAGTAGGAGAGGAGCTCAGTCAGTTCCCTGATACATTTTATTGCTTGGTATCATGGTGTTCCATGGTAGCAACCTACCATATTCCTGACCATCAGAAGCCCAGGCGGGTATTTTCTAACAGCCTACTTCCTCTATTTATTTTTTTTTTTTCCCCCACAAACTTCCCAATGGAAAATTTTGATTTGAGGTAATTTATGCTTATACAGGTAGAATGATTTTTATATATATATATATATATATATATATATCTGTGGATGTAGGAATAGAATATACAGTATGGGTGGTGCATGATTCTATGATCCTACAAAGTGCAGAGAGCCTAATGAGTGCATGAATGAAAATAAAAATTAGTTGGATCTCTTGTGATGTGTGTGTAGGTTTTATTTTGTTCTTTTTTCCACTGGACATCTGATCTAGGTAACTGTGCTACATATTACATGAACAGCAGCATTCTATTTCAGAGTATTTTGCATTTGGAAACAAGTTGTGTGTCTGTATGTCATTACTTTAAAGTGTTCTGAGGACAGTATCCTGCTGGCTTGGGTGTCTGTACCATGGGTGTATCACATCAGCTTTTCAATGCAAATAACCATGATTTCATGTGGGTCTGTCAAAAGCTGGATGTATTTGTCTCACGTCTAATCTATGCAGAAGAAGTAATTTTACTTTAGTTCTTTTTGTTAAAGGGATTTAAACTGCTCTAAATGAAATTTTTATTACACAGTTTTTAATAAAATAAGCGTCATAAATATTGGGTGGGCAGTAATGCATGGAATCGGTGGTACTACATGGTACAGAATGTTTTGCAATAGAGCTGGCAAGTGAGTGTATTTGTCCTTGGGGAATCCTTAAGAACATGACAGTTATAGACATTGGCCTACAGGATAGAAAGTGGCCAAAAGAGTGGGGTCTCATACATTGTAATAATCCGGTATCATATGCCAACGCTTAAAGTTGTTTAGACATTAGACTTAATTGTTTTCCCTTGTAACACTAATCAAAACTTCTTTTCTCCTAAAGCAAAACAGAAAAGTAACTGCACCATTCACTTGTTGGATGAGAGCAGCTTTTTAGTGTTTAATTCAGATTTTGGTTTCTGGTGGGTTTTCTTCTTACGTTAGGTATTTAAACTCCTACAGTCTAAACGTCCATAAAGGTTTCTAAGTGTATATTGTGTTTTCATTTTCAGTACCTTTCTAAAGTACAAACCTTTTGTTTTGTTGCGTTTCTAGAGCTTAAGTTTAGATGAGACAAGTTCCAGCCTATTTACTTTTTTTCTTCAAATGATACATAACAACATCCTGGAGATCGGGAACAGGTAAAAAAGAAAATAGTTTTTCTTTCTTTAGTGTGTTTGGGTTTTTTCATTAATTGTTTTTTTTTCCTGTTAAACAGGATACTTTGAATTGGCTCAGGGGATTTTCGATAGCTGTCTTTTAAAGATTTTTATTTTGCATGCATTTGAAATCTGTTATATCAGTTTAAATTCCATAAAAACATGAAGAGTGTGGAATAAAATTTATATTGAATAAAGTTTCTCTTTCCCACTTGGATGATGTTAACCATACAAAGAATGCATTATTCTAGAGATATGTAACCTTCTTTATTTAAAACTGCAGATGTAGTTCAAAAGAGAAATACTTTTAAAATGTTGGGATCCATAGTGATAAACAAAAGCAAGGTAACATCTAAGCAATCATGCAAAAGTCTTGTTAGTCATTTCCTTGTAGTGCAAAATTAAACCTTTTCTGTGTGGACTTGCTATTTGGCAATTTAAAATGAAAATATAAGGCAATAAGAATATTAATTAAAATTACTGGCAACTCTAAAATTAGGAATCGGATAGTATAGAGGGCAGTAATGCAGATTTCTTGTGTTCCTAGAGATACTAATTTGGTATTTCTCATCTGGTTTTGCCTCTAGGTGGCGAAAGTGTATCACACATAGAAAACGAGTATTTACGTGGTCTTTATTTGTGAATTCAGAGTGAGGTAGATTAGAATGAATAGCTGCTTGCTCTTGAAAAAATACCTTTAGTTTAGAATACTTAATCTCACAGGGTTGTGTGAGGGGGTGAAAAGCTTTCAAGGAGGCAAATCAAAGAGCCTTTATAGGTGGCAGAATCATGAGACTGCTCGTGTGGCCATTAATAAGGACTGACTAACATCAGTATGTTTAATGAAAGTTTAATGGTTTTAAAGAAAGCACATCTTGACAAAGCCAACTCCACACTTACTTAGTCTCTCAGCTTGGCTGAAAAAATACTGTTTGTCCTGGAAGGGATTTGTCCTTTTTTAATAGCTTATTCTTATTTTCAAATTAAAAAAAAAAAACAAAAACAAAAACAAACAAACAAAAAAACAACCCAAGCTGCAGTAAGTTTAGTAAATGAATACACTCTTTAACTGATGATTCTTCAAAAGGCATCACAGTTAATATTTACTTGATGTTTTGAGAAATGTGCTAGAAGGAATACTTTAATACTTTTTAATACATTTATCGAAAGTCATTACATTATAATCTAATAGCTCACTGTTTCAAAGGGGTGTTGTGAAAATAATTCCCTTGCGTTTTGTGTGGCATGTTCATTCTGTTGCTGCCGGCATAGAAAAATCCACAAGTTAATGGGGAGTTCTGTCTTCAGTAGCTTACCTAGATGTCATGCATTACATTACTATTACGATGCGTGGTCTTACTGGTTTTATATAAGTAACAAGGGAAGTAATGAAGCCTCCCCCTTGCTATGTCTATGTGAATTCTTTGAAGCCAGGAGAAACAAATCAAGGATTATGCTTCTGCAAAATGACAACTGATAACTTAAGTGAATTTTTCAAGTAGGCCGGGGGGAGGCAGAGTATAATTACAAATAATAAGGGTTAGCATTTCACAGGATGTAGTGTTTTTTTTTCCTAATGAAAAGTAAGATAGCTTCATGCCTGAGCTGTTAAATGAGGAAATAAATGTGATTTAAAGTGTAGTTGAGATGCATAAAAACAGATCATGTGCTATACTGGGCTAAGCTCTCAGAAATTTTCCTAAAATTAAAGTAATACTTATTTGGGGAAAAAAAAAAACCAACCAACCAAAACAAACAAAAAATACAAAACCATAAACCCAAGAAGCTATTTCCCAGTCAGGTCATGCTGTGCAAGTATATACAAAGAACACCTCAATAAATAAATAAATAATAGTTTGGAATATTTCTCCAGTGCACTTAGCTTTGAAACAAACGTTCTTGTACAAGAAACAGTGTAAGATGCAACATAAAGAATTACAAAGCTTAAATGAAGTGTGGCTATGCAGTTGAAGGAGGAAGGAGGCATTGTGGTTTGAGACAATTTATGCAATTTCTTTCATTGAATAACAGTTGCTTACTGGAGTTTGTTAAAAAGAAAGGAATATACGTATTAATGAGTTTTTTTACACTGTTTAATGTGAAACTTCCTAGCTGTATGTAAGTTAAGGACAAATTTAAGGCTAACTAGCAAGCATGTAGTCTGTGTCTTATTGAAACATATATGTTGTACTTGAAAAAACAAGTGAAAGTTTAATAGAATTGTTTATTGCAATATTGTGTGTTTTGATTTTATCTTTCTTCTGTACTAGGTACTACATACAGTGCTGTGGAATTCCACAGGGCTCCATTTTGTCAACCTTACTTTGCAGCTTATGCTATGGAGACATGGAAAACAAATTGCTTAGTGGGATACAACAGGATGGGTAGGAATGCTTTGTTCTTTACTGGGTGCTCTGTTATAGTAATGCATAATATATAAGATACGTGTTAGCCATTTTCTGTGAAGTTTAATTTTGAATTTCAAGGATTTCCAACTGTCCAGTCAGAGTGTAGTACACAGAATCATCTCTGAAGCTTCTGTGGTGGCTCTGTGAGGGAATTTGCTTGTTTGACATAAGATTGGGAAGAAAAGTGCTGAAAAGAAGCTTTCCTAGATCTGTAGGTAGGAGACTTGTTCTTAAACAGGGCACAATATTTAGGCATGCTGTAGAGTCTGACAAGCTCTTCTGTAAGAAGTTTATGGTTCTTCCACAATTTTGCCATCACTGATGGCAATGCTCCTGCTTTGAAGAGGACACTGGACAAAGTAATCTCCAGAGCTTCCTTTCCCTGATATATTAGGCAGGATTTATCAAACAGATATCAGCATGGTTGGGGCCTGAATTCTGTTGAAAAAGCAAACTCCAGCCTTTACAGTGGTTGATGGTAGTCTGTTTTACATTTGAGTTACAGCTTCACAGAAAGGTTGTTACATGGTAAATGAAGATACCGAGTTAGAGTACATCAAAAATCTAGCAGCTGCATTTGTGTACCTGATATTATTCCTCCTTTCTGTGTCTTATTAAGATACACTTTTCCGAGGGAGAATTTGAAGTAAAACCCTGCATCTAAGCAGCTACTATGGAGTAGTTTGTGTGCCATAAATTCCGGTCATGTTTCATAGAGCCAACCACTTTGCTTTCTTGTTTATTTATTTATTTATTTATTTATTTATTTTTAGGAAAAAAGCGGTACTGATTTGGAGATCATATTATCCTCTACCTTCTTGTGAATTAAAATGGGCACATTGTTGCTCTGAGGAGTATGACAAAAATGAGAGAATTGCATATTAAAAAAAAAACTAACACCCAATTTCTTACTGATTACAGAGTTCTAATACGTCTCATTGATGACTTTTTGCTGGTTACACCACATTTAATGAAGGCAAGACGTTTTCTAAGGTATGCTATTAACGACATAGTCTTCAAAATAAGTGAATAAGCCATTTAGTTCATTCTTTTTCATCTTCATATATGTTTGCACATACAGGTATATTTTATGACTTAATCAAGGGGAATTTTGGAGTCCTTGTTGGTAGTCTGTGCTTGGGAACAAATCTAATAGCTGCTTTCTTGGTGGTCAACTAAAAATCTGTTGCAGCTCAGATGGTGGGGGATTCCTGCTGAATTTTAAATTAGGGACCCAGCTACTGACCTTGATGGAGATTCTAGCAGCAATTAGTAGTGCAGACTAACCAAAGTACCTATCAGTTGTCTTTCAACACCATTTTCCCTCAAATTTTTAAGATGTCTTAATTACTTTCTCAGAATGGTTTTATTGGGCAGGTATGCTACCACCTTCTATTCTGTTCTTCTTTCCCTAGGGAAAGAATGCATTTAATCAAATAAATGAGGTTCTTGTTATGTGGATTCTTCTTGGTTTTGTTAACTTTCAAAACCAATAACTTTTTTCTGTCTTCTTCCAGTGATTTTGATCTCAGTGGTTTCTGTGAGTGTGGTTTATGCAGCTTGTCTCAAATGTTTCCTGGTTTAAGTTCTTAATGTGTATTAATCTGTAAAAGTTTTTCTCCATTATCTACAGCTTACTTATGTATCTATTTAACTCTAATTCAGGGTGTTTTCAGGTTACCGAAACATGGCTAGAAATAAAAAAGAGTTGTTGTTCCCTTTATTCTTTGGTTTCTGTTGTTTTATGCAAGATCATATGTGTCTTATATTGTTATTACACTTATTACTGTTCATATTTGTTTTAGGACTCTAGCAACAGGTATTCCTGAGTATGGCTTTTTAATAAACCCCAGTAAGACAGTCATGAATTTTCGTGTTGATGATATCCCAGGATGTTCCAAATTTAAACAGGTGCCAGATTGTCCTATGATCCCATGGTGTGGTTTATTATTTGATATACAGACACTTGAGGTTTACTGCGATTACTCCAGGTAAATAGAGTTGTATGCTTCACTGTCAGCTTTACAGTATATTGTACAAAATGTGAGAAGCACAAGGATGTCTTGTGAATGATGTAGTTGAATTCACTGCAAAATAGATTTTACAGTTCTGTTTCTTATACATTAGTCTAAACATTTTATTCTGCTGTGCAGCCTGCTGTTTTCTTCATTCCATCCTGATGGAATGTACATACCATTAACACCATTGAATGTAGCACAGGTCCCTAATGACCAGAAGCCATATACTGTATGGTGGCTGCATGGTTCTGAGAAGGTTTATTCAGTCACCTCAGTTTAGCTTCTTTCACCATTATTGTGAAACTGTGTATGTGTAGCTATATATATCTCAGCACTGTATTGTGCCTGATATTATATGGCTATAGTTAGTATTCTGAAATTGTTGGTTTTTTTGTGGGTGTTTTTTGTTGTTTTGGGTTTTTTTTTTTGTGGCTTCCTAGTCATGGGATTAATTTTGTATGGACTAGAGAGACTAGTTATCCTTTCAACATCAGAGGTGTTCCCTCTGGTAAACTCCAGATGGTAGTGTAGGGTAGAAGTAACCTCTGTTTAAACTAGCAACCTTAACTCTTTACACAAAGCAGTCTGAAACGGCATAGAACTCAGGACGGGACAATGTATCCTACTGAAAAGCTCCGTAGACCCTTTACGTAGGCTACTAGAGATGGCATTAGACATTTGCTAAAGATTAATAAAAAAAACACAAACCTGTTTAAAGAGAAGTAATATATTGTTATTGATTGTGTTTGGTATAACCAGCCCACACATACATTTAAGTGGGAAATTTGAGGGAGGTTTTCCATCACCAGTGTGTTGAAGTTCTTTAGTAGTAGTCCAAAACAGAAAAGCTTGGACCGTTTAGGAAAGGAATTTATATGATATGATTTTCTGTAAGAACAGAGGACTAGAATTAACAAAGAGATTTATTTACTAGTTGTGTTTGTGGAAGAAACAGTTTATGTTGCTGAGGACATTGGTACTACTGATCTGGGAGATACTACTCAGAATCCTGAGGTGTTTGTTACAAGAGCCACCTTCCTTTTCATAAGCTTGACTTAAGTAACTGTTACCTCAGTTCACCCTTGTGTGACTTCCAACCTCAGCTCCTGCATTGCATGGATCACAGAGTATAACTTGGTTGTCACTGGAGTCATTAATAGTGGTCTGGCCTAGACCATGTGTTCTGTTAATGTATCTAGTTTGTTTTTAAGCTTATTGGTTTGGGTTTACTTAGCAGGGTGAATTATTCGGCCTGCGATACTGAAGTCATTCCTTAGCTAACAGTTAATACCTTAACGCCACAGCGTCTAGCCTCTTTCTAAATTGGATTTAGTTATAGTCGTCTCTTGGCTGCTGGCTCATTATTAGTAGGCATTGTCTGTGACGTGGGAAGTTAAATGCTTACTTTGCAGAATTTAATTTAGTCTATTAGCCCATGGAGTTTAACTACTTTTTTTTTTTCTTTATTTTTCCTAGTTATAGCTATACTGCCATCAGATCAAGTCTTTCCTTCAATTCAAGTAAAACAGCTGGGAAAAACATGAAATACAAATTGACTGCCGTCCTCAAACTGAAATGCCATTCTTTATTTCTTGATTTACAGGTGGGAATATGGAAATGGATGTTTGGAAATACTGTGATTAGTGATAAAGATAATTAGAAAGGCTTTGAGTTCTGACATAAAAAGCTGATTTTTGAGAGGTAATCGACATAACTTGGAAATACTGACATCAACTAAAATGTGGGATTTCAGCACCTTCCAGAACTGAGCCTTCACAATATTGTTAACTTAGGTACCTAAGGAAATCTTTGAAGTTTAGCATCGAATGTTTTTTCTCTAGATCTCTAAATCATCTCATGCTGTTGAACTTGAACAAATCCTATTGTGACACCAAAGTATTCCTATAGGTCTGTTTCTGTTCCGTTCTAGATCAACAGCCTTAGAACAGTTATCATTAACATCTACAAGATATTTTTACTTCAGGCTTACAGGTAGGTCACTGTCTTCTGCAGTAACTCTGAATATTTCATTACTCTTTCTTGACATGTGGAGGGAAAAGTGTGCTGTGTAAATGTAAGAAGTAAGTCAAGTTACTCGTTTCAACACCGTTCTTAGGTAACTATTAGATTTGGGATACAGGATTGTATTAGTGTCTGTATTTATGTGACACTTGACTAAATGCATTTTCAGTGCCTTGTGGTATTGACAGCTGACCTCAAGAAAAGCAGTCTGTTTTGCTTCAGCAGGATGACAAGAAGCCTTATCACTTATTAACCAGTTTATATTTAGAACTTTGTATCTATTAAAATCATACAGATCTTTGACCTGTATAACTTCACCTAAAGTGAGGTTACATTCTGCCAAGTTAATTGCAGTTTCTTAGCTGCTGATAAATATCTTAATTGCTCCTCAGCTGGTAATACCTTGGGGTTTGTGAGCTGTTCCTGACAAGCAGAGGAAGTGAATGTTTGAAACAGTGAGAAGGGAAAGAAATAAAAATGGATAAGTAATTTAGGAGAAAATACTAATATCTATACATCGAAAACCTTGAATGATTGGCAGCACCAAGAATTTTTTTATTAACACAAAAAAGGTATAAGAGGTGTTTCCCTCTTCACAGAAATCTGGTGTTGCTCTTTTGCTAGGCTCATACTTTTTAGGGAGTGACATTTTAGTTTTGTTCTTAAATTCAGCTTGGTCCGCGTTCCACCTGTATCATTCTTGTGTTCAGGAAGTGTAATTGGACTTGTCTAGTGCAGCACTCATGTATTGAACGTTTAAACTTTGTGTTGTGAGGGACTTAATGTTTTTTTTCTCTGATGCTGGACATGATTACTTAGTTGCTTCTGTTTGCTTTTATGGGAACACCTGATCAAAGGACTTTAGGTTAGAATACCTTTAAAAACCTGTCCACCATGCTACCAGCATGTCAGGTTAATTTAGCCAGTGATGGAGTGTGGTAATGGTGTTTATCCTTTAAATATTATATAATTTCAGAATTTCTTGAAGTGATTACACTTATGCTGGGTTAATTTAATAAGTATACACATTATCAAGTAATTAACGATCATCGTTGTAATTGTTGAGTATATTCAGCCCTCCCTCCCCTGCTCTTCCTGGGGAAAAAAAAAGCAGTTTTAAAATATATCTGTTCAGAGGTGTAAAGGAGCCTAGAATGCAAGTAATGTTTGTAGACAAAAGAGTGGGGATGCTGGTCTGTGAAACACTGTCATTTGGAGGTCTGTTTTCCTGAATTCCTGAACATAATTTGTTCTGGGGTTTGGTTTTGTTTTTTCTTCCTCTTACACTGTGTCACATGGGTGTTCTCTGGCTGCATGGTCTGTGATATGGAATTGGTGAGGATGCGTAGTTTAACTTTCTCTTCACATAAGACGGTCATTGTCTTCAGAAGAGAATTCCATTACCAAGGCAGATTGCTTCAAGATCTTCTTTCAGCACAAAATTTAGAAACAAACATCACATGTGTCTGCCACTCCAGGGGCGTGGGTATACAGGAGAGTTGTCATATGCTAACTGTGTTGATACAGCTGAAAACTGTTGTATGCTTTTAAATGTTTAGTGCCTAAGGTAGGTAGTTATAGTTTCACTTGAAATTGCAAATGACATGATTAAATAGGCTGTTTTTATGAACAGGTTTCATGCCTGCGTTCTCCAACTTCCATTCAACCAGCAAGTTAGAAACAATCCTTATTTCTTCCTAAGAATCATCTCTGAGACTGCATCATGCTGCTATAGTATCCTGAAAGCAAAGAACAAAGGTGTAGTATGTTAATGGCAATGAAGCAGTGTGGGGTTTTCTGGCTTTTTTTATTTGACAAATAAAATGTCTTGAATGTGCAGTCAGATCATGTAATTTTGAGATAAAGATGAGGAATGGAAAACATTGAGTGCATAATAACAATCTCAGGGCATTTCTTTTCCTAAACTCAGTTTTCCAAAGATACTGAAATATTTCATGTTTTAGTTTTTAGTTCTCTGCTGACATAGGAGACTTCATTGACTACACAGATTTTTAGTAAAAAATCTTGGAGTGATTAGAAAGCGAGGAGAAGTCAGACACTGTTTTTCATGATCATAAGTTTCAGTGACATTATTTTCATGTTCTGCTTCCAGGGATTGCTTTAGGTAAGAAAGGTGCATCTGGTATGTTCCCTTCTGAGGCGGCAGAATGGCTCTGCTACGATGCGTTCACTGTCAAGCTGGCAAACCACAAAGTTATTTACACATGCCTGCTTAAGCCTCTAAAAATCTGTAAGTATTCAATTATTGTTGGAATTTGAAATATGGTTACTTGTAATAAAGCTTGGAATCTAATGGATTTTTTTAAGTTTTCCTACCATAAAATGTTTTTCTAAAATGTACATTAATGAGCTTTCTGATTTTAATCAAATTTATTATGCATAAGTACGTAAATTAAAATGGTGTGGTTTTCAGCACTGCATGTTCTAGAGCCTTGTTCTTATGGAATAGTTGTTGATACTTGGCACTAAATAACTTTCTACAGTTCAGAAAGCTGTATAAGATCTAGTTAATCATATAAGCATTCTTAGCAGGTTTAACTAAATGATGCATGAATGCTCAGGTTTCTATTTCTTTAAACTGTATTAACTGGCAACTAAGTAAGTTCCTCCTGCAATGTAAACTCTTACCAAAAGAAGTGTCACCGCGGTCACTTTGAAACAGAAGCACTTGGCTGTGCTGCATATGCTGTATGGTAATAGAGTTGAGTGGTGTTGGCAAATCTTTGAGCTTTCTACACTGTTGAAAGAACCTGTCTGTGTATCTGGCCTATGGGGAACTGTCTCTTTGACCAGTTGTGCCGTCCCCAGGGCAGGCACAGAAATAATGGAATTTTCAGTTCTAAGTTATCAAAAGTGAACAGCAGTAGGTTTTTTCTGAAGTGGTCAATGCTGCAGCTGAATTTAGCTGCAGTGAAGGCCTCTCAGCACTGACTCTGTAATTTGTGCTCTGAATGAGTCATTACTTGGTGGGGTTTATTATACAATACTGAGGAGTTCTTCAGCCTGATTCAAGGATAATCCCTATTTGATTTGAAACATATTGCAAGCTTCCCTTGATACCTGTGCTGAGGGCCCAGTGCCCCAGAAAAAGAGCAGATCTGGTTTTGGAAGTATCCATTTCCTTCCCATATCAGAGGTTTGCAGCAATGCCTGGGTGCAAACAGTCTGAATGTATCAAAGATGACAGACATTTACAGAAAACGAACTCATTGTTGGGACTGCACCAGGTGTGTGCTGGTCAGGTACAGTCTTTCCGTATGGAGCAGACCTCCATCAGCCTCTCCCAGAGAAGTTCCTTCTCTCAGAGTTACTTACTGACACCAAAACCAGAGGCACAAAGTCTGATCACTGCTGCTGAGAAGCCAGTTCTGTTCAGCCCTTCTAGAGCTACCAGGGGAAAGAGACCTGCGTCCAGGAAGGGAAGAGTTGCTGCTTGCATCACTTGGAGAGGACACAAACTGAAAAGCTGAGCAGAGAATGCAATGGTTTCACCTAGTAGAATAACGGCTTCTCTGGGAGCTGTGTGACTTCCCTTATATCCATATAGAGCACCTCTGAATTTTCATCTGTAATGCAGAAGATTTTGCTCTTGGGGTCTTACACTGTCAGACCACAACCTGTGCCAAAGCTCCCACATTTTTCTCTGCGCATGCTTTGCTGTTGAATCTGACAGTACATTCAGGGTGGAGGTACAGCCCCAGGCAGCTTTATTGTTCAGCAAATCTCATCTTCCATGGGTGTTTGCATCTGCCATAAATGCTTTCACTGTCCACAAAATCACACCACCACAGATGCCAGGGAAAATGGGCAGGGAAGTAGAGGTGGAATTTTCCGAGTTTGAATAATGATTATTGTTAGGCTTATGCTGTACCTGTGCAGCCTCTTGCCTAACCACAGTACTGACCTTAAACTTGTGTGTGGTCCAGGCCTAACACTGTATGCATAGTTTCTACCCCAAGAAGGGAAAGCTGACCATCTATCAGTTAGCTTCTCTGTCAGTAAGAATTGCCCTTGCAGATACATAATAACCTCGTTTCCTCAATTCTTGGGGAGAGCTATTAATTCTATACTTGCTATTGTGGGGGGTAGAGCAGGAAATGTCCAAAGGCAAGTAGAAAATTACTGGTGACATTCTCTTGAAAAGAGTGATTTCCAGCTATTCTTTTGTAAATCTTAACTTTGTCTGAGACAGAATCTGTTCTTCACATTCATAATGTTGGGACAACTCTATCTGCAAGGCCTGCTTTCTTTTGGAAATGTCTGATCAAGGGTTCAGATTTTTGCTTAATGGCTGCCTAAACAATTAGCAGGATGTGACTTGTTTTTACTGTGAAACTTTTATGGTGGAAACATTTCATGTGATTGGCCAACAGATCACTGGGGCCCAAATAACTTGAATGCCATCTTCGTGATCTCTATTTCCTTATTTCTCCATGAAATCTTACCTGTACTTCCACTAGCCCTGTTCCATCTGTGCTGCAGGGGTGACTCAATACGTAGTCTGGATCTGGTACTCACCAACAAGGAGGGTCTAGTTGAAGTAGTGACGGTCAATGGCAGCCTGGGCTGCAGTGACCATGAGATGGTGGAGTTTAGGATCTTGTGTGGGAGGAATAGAATACCTAGCAAGGCCACATTTCTGGATTTCTGAAGGGCAAACTTTGGCCTCTTCAATCAATTGCTAAGGGAAGTATCATGGCAAAGGGTACGAGGTGGTAAAGGGGCTCAAGATAGTTGGTGAGCATTCAAGGACCACTTCTTCAAAGCTCAGGATCAGAGTGTCCCAATGGGTAGGAAGCCAAGTAGGGGAGCCAGGAGACCAGCAAGGTTAAACAAGGAACTGCTGGGCAAACTCATATGGAAAAAGAGAGTCTATGGATTATGGGAGGAGGGGCTGGCCTCTTGGGAGGAATATAGGACAGCTGTTAGAGGATGTAAGGGAAGGAATTAGGACAGCTAAGGCCTCCTTGAAACTTAATCTGGCAAGTCGGGTCAAGGACAATAGAAAGGGCTTATTCAAATACATAGCAGATAAAACTAACACAAGAGGCAGTATAGGCCCACCGCTAAACGAGGTGGGTGCCCTGGTGACAGGATATAAAGAAGGCAGAGGTGTTGAATGCCTTCTTTGCCTCTGTCTTTATTCCTGTAGACTCTCCCCAGGGGACCCAGATTCCTATAGCCCCGGAAGGAGTCAGGATAAAGGAGGAGTTTGCTTTGGAAGATGAGGATTGGGTTAGGGATCAGTTAAGTAATCTGGGCATCTATAAATCAATGGGTCTGGATGGAATACACCCGCAGATGCTGAGGGAGCTGGCGGAAGTCATTCCTGAGCCACTCTCCATCATTTTGGTAAGTCGTGGGAAAAAGGAGAGGTGCCTGAGGATTGGAGGATGGCAAATGTTACACCAGTCTATAAGAAGGGCAAGAAGGAGGACCTGGGTAATTACAGACCGGTCAGCCTTACCTCCGTCCCTGGAAAGGTGATGGAACAACTTATTCTTGACACCATCTCTAGACATATCAAGGATGAGGGGGTCATTAAGAGTAGCCAACATGGCTTTACCAAGGGGAAGTAATGTTTGACCAACTTTATAGCCTTCTATAAGCAAATAACTAGGTGGATGGATGATAGTAGAGCGGTAGATGTGTTTTTTCTTGATTTCAGTAAGGTTTTCTTGATACTGTCTCCCACAGCATCCTCATAGATAAGCTAAGGAAGTGTGGGCTTGATGATCAGGTAGTGAGGTCGATCAAGACCTGGTTGGAAGGAAGAAGGCAGAGAGTTGTGGTTAATGGGGCATAATCTAGCTGGAGGTCTGTGACTAGTGGAGTCCCTCAGGGGTCGGTGCTGGGACCAGTGCTGCTTAATATTTTCATCAGCGACCTGGATGAGGGAACTGAATGTACCCTCAGCAAGTTTGCTGATGATACTAAACTGGGAGGAGTGGCTGACACACCAGGGGGCTGTGTTGCCATTCAGCAAGACCTGGACAGGCTGGAGAGTTGGGCGGAGAGGAACTTGATGAAATTCAACAAGGGCAAGTATAGAGTCTTGCATCTGGGGAAGAACAACCCCATGTACCAGTACAGGTTGGGGGCTGACCTGCTGGACAGTAGTGAAGGGGAAAGGGACCTGGGGGTCCTGGTGGATAGGAGGATGACCGTGAGCCAGCAATGTGCCCTTGTGGCCAAGAAGGCCAATGGCATCCTAGGGTGCATTAGAAAGGGTGTGGTTAGTAGGTCAAGAGAGGTTCTCCTCCCCCTCTACTCTGCCTTGGTGAGGCTGTATCTGGAATATTGTGTCCAGTTCTGGGCCCCTCAGTTCAAGAAGGACAGGGAATTGCTTGAAAGAGTCCAGCGCAGAGCCACAAAGTTGATTAAGGGAATGGAACATCTCTCTTACAAAGAGAGGCTGGGGGAGCTGGGACTCTTTAGCTTGGAGGAGACTGAGGGGTGACCTCACCAGTGTTTACAAATATGTAAAGGGTGAGTGTCAGGATGATGGAGCTAGGTTTTTTTCAGTGATGTCCAGTACAGGACAAGGGGCAATGGGTGTAAACTGGAGCATAGGAAGTTCCATGTGAACATCAGGAAAAATTTCTTTACTGTGAGAGTGACAGATCACTGGAACAGGTTGCCCAGGGGGGTTGTGGAGTCTCCTACATTGGAGATATTCAAGGCCTGCCTGGACAAGTTCCTGTGTGATGTACTCTAGGTTACCGTGCTCTTGCAGGAGGGTTGGACTAGATGATCTTTTGAGGTCCCTTCCAACCCTTAGGATTCTGTGATTCTGTAGTGGAGCACTTCTGTAGCTATTGCTTATATGAAAAGCTCCCAAAACATCTGCTAGGTAATCTGGCAGGAGGGTAGCTGTTTGGTGTCAGCTTGTCATGTAACCTGAGTATTTACCAGTAACTGATTTTGAGAGGTGCTTTGCCTGCATCTGTATTTGCTTCCATCTGTCTTTCTCCTTCTTTTAAGGGTTGGTTGAGGTTTTAAAAATAATTTCAAACTGTTTTTGTAAAGCAACTGAGAAGGCACTATATGTCACCTGTAGGGGCTGAACAGGAGGGAAGATGAGGCATCAGTGTGCTGGTAAAGTGGTACAAAGACATCTTGTGACCTGTAGTGGCAACTCATGTGCATACCCTTGGTATGAATGTGCATCATTATCTGCGTGTCTCTAAGATCTTTGATCGCAGATAAAGGCTGGTTTTCAGTCACCTGATTGTACATGGCATTTATATTTGTATTTTCTTCTAATTTTAGTAAGATATTAAGACTCTGAATCCTGCAGGAATGCACTAAAATCAGTTTAAAGAGCTATTGATACTTTTCTGCTCGGTCTTGAATTAGCTTTGTTTGGCCTGCATCAGACTTATTCCTGGGTAATGTTATTAGAATCGCATCACCACGCTGGAGAGAAGGTTACTACAGTGCTGAGCATTATGTAGAGATACCGGAGCTACCTTGAGTTTGTCTTCTGGTAATCAGGTAGCATGTGTAGATGTCAGAGTAGCTGTGGCAGGGAAGTCACTGGTTCTGAGGTGTGTTCCTGTCGACTTAGTTCAGTATCTCTATATGGCACAGCAAGCTGTAGCACAGAGATAACAAAGACAGGTAATAGCACCTGTGTTGACTTAACTACACTTTTTGTTCTCATTTTGGGGCTTGTATCAGCTATATAAAACTTATTACCCCTGTAAGATCAGGTTGTTGACAGGATTTGATATAAACTTAACATTTTGTCTTGTATCCCTGCACATGCCTTTCCATTACTCTTCATGGGAATCGGTATCAAGCTCATAAGTTTTGTGGAGGAGGTTTTTCTTCCCCACAGTTCCAAAACCTGTTAAATATTAACATTAGGGGCTTGTTAGTAGGAGTTGTCGTCATTCTTCATATTCCAAAACTTGTTGAATATCAACATCAGGGGCTTGTCGGTACAAATTGTCGTCATTCGTCAGAGTTAAGTATTTAAAATATAGTTACTGTTTAACATCCCTCTTATTATTACCAGTGGGGAAAGAAGCAAGAGTCTTTCCTTATCATGATAAGATACAAGTACATCATCAGTCTCCTTTCCAAAGACAGAACAAATGTTTATTGAGCACTTTTGCCTTTCTGCACCATTGACAATTCTGCCACCTTTCTTTAGGTGACAGACTTTAACTGTTGCTAGGATTTTACATGTTCTTCCTAATGTTTCAAAAGTCCTTTTTATTGTCTGTAATGTTGATGTTAGACTTGGTGACCTTCATTGTTTCAAAACTCTTATTCATAAAAATGCCATTCCCAAGAGCCTTGTTTAGTCTCCAGAATTTTCCACCGTAAGGGTAGCTTTCCAGTTAGACTCTCTTCTCTTATAAGGAAGCACTCTGGGGAGAATTGCTGCTTTGTTGCCAGTCTTATAGCACAAGGTGATTTTATTTCTTTGTATTATTTCTTTTTTAATGTGTCAGTTCCAAGCATAGGCTAATTTGATGTCATATCTGAAAGTAGAGGGGGAAAAGAAACAGTTTGGGAATACCTTCCTGCTGCAGGTAAACATTAACAACCACACAGGACCTGTCCCTTGTCCTTAGCAATGTTTAGAATACAGGCTTTCAACATCACTATGGTTTGACAGAAGGCCTTTTTTGGTGTATATAGTTATTTAATAAATAATCTTTTATTAAAAAAAATAAATCTTAAATCCAAACAAAGAAGTGTTACAAGGACATAGTAGGGGAATTTGCTCCTTGATTTTCTTAGTTTGTTAATATTTTCACATGCGATTTTTAACCTTTTTATTTATTAGCCTGATTTAAGGGCAGAAGAATAGTAGCATATTTTATTACTGCTTTTTTTGTCTCTATATTCCAGGTATTCCAACTTCTTAATTGGATTCATCAAGCATTGATTTAATTATATTATTAGCATTTTCTCTAAACCAGAATTGTTAGTTACTTGCAATAGTAATGATTTTTTTTTCTGGTATTTTTGTAGGTAAGATGCAGCTATTCAGGAAGATCCCAAAGGATACTATGGCACTATTGAAGGAAGTGACAGAACCGTCTTTTTATCAAGATTTCAAAACTATCCTGGACTAACTGGTTGAAGTTTATTCCATTTTTTTTTTTTCCAGGTTTGAAAGTAAATGTTATGTCTCCAGATGACTTTTCTCTCTAGTTTATTTTGGTAGTGGACAGAAAGCAACTTCACTCAGAAGTTTTCCATGTTTGTTTCTCAGATACCACACAAGGACTTAAAAAGAGCAGACAATTTTGTTAATTCACAGGCTATTTGAAGTAATAGACTGGGTTTCCTTCTGTAATTTCCATGTTATTGATGAAGGGATCATTAACTATGTTCTGGATACACAGATCTACTATCTTGTTTCAGCATGTTGTTTCTGAAGAAGTGTTCTTTGTTGTGTTACAGACTATTTTATAATAAATTGCCTGATTATTTGCAATAATGGGTCCTTGTCTCCAATACCTTTATTTTACAGTAATCCTTAACATCCTGCCCAGCTGTGTTATATTCTGAAAGACAGTTACCTGCACAGGGCAAGTGCATTTCATGGCAGTATCTAGCAAGATGTACAGATGTTATGCTTTGGGGAATACAACTAATAAATGCCAAAATTTCAGTGTTAAAGCTGGTTGTTTAAGGAATGTTTTTTATATAACAGAATCATAGAATAGTTAGGGTTGGAAAGGCCCCTAAAACCATTTAGTTTCAACTCCCCTGCCATGGGCTGGGACACCACACACTAGACCATGTCACCCAAGACTCCACCCAACCTGGCCTTGAACACCGCCAGGGATGGAGCATTTATCACTGCATGATTATTCTGAGACTTTTTCCTTGAATAGGGTTTTGAGCTCCTTGTTTTAGGACTGTGGATTCTTAAGGCTGAACATCACCATGCCTGTGTCTGTGTCTTTTACACATTTACCCACAATAATCTAGGCTGTCCTTACAGCCTAGACAGTTCTAGAGAGGTCTTCTCTGTCAGAACAGTATGAGTTCACAGCAGAGTATTATAGCAAAGTTTCTGATAAGATATGCAGGTGACAGATTGGGAGGAGATTATGCTGAAGTAGAAAGTGTTTAGTATGCAGGACTTCAACACCTTCAGTTTCATGTTCGTGTGCATATGCTTACTCAAGTAAGAGTTATGCTATTCAAGAGAAAATAGTACCTATAGGATGCTGTGCTCCTTATGAATAGGAAGGAGAAGACTGTAGCACTAATCTGACTGGTAAAGGCTACAGTTCTGGCACAGGAATTTTAGTAGAGGTCACATCGGAAGTGCACTGAGAGCAGAAAAGTTACGTTCCTGCAAGAGTTGCTCAACACATTTTCTACATGCCTACTTTGGCTAAAAAGTAACTTCAGCTAGTGCATTTGCTTGCCTTGAGTTGTAGTTACTGGAGCTGAAAATTGTCTTCCCCTCAAGTCTTCCCATCCCAGGCTGAACTGTGTGTCTGGCAACACACGAAGTCTCCCTTCTGGTGAATGGGAAGGGACAACTCGAAAGTCAGGAACTCTGTGAGTGCGGTGACAGTAGCTTGAGACAGATTTATAGACTTGACAGTCTTGTTATATGTAGCTTAATTCTTTTCTCAGCTTGTGTCTGTGTTAGTTGGATGTGTTTGGTTTTTTTAAGAACAGATCTCTGACCTACTTAAACTTGCTGCATATACTCTGCATATAAGATATTAATGAAATCTAGCTATCTGCAGTCAGAGACATGAATATAGAATGGATATTTTAGTTAATGAAAAATTTATTTCTGTATTTAAGTTTTTTTTTAATATATGGTCAAAATTGCAATTATATTGGGGCTTTTTGATTACTCATTTTTTTTATGGAAGACTTTTATTACTCATAACCTTTCAAACTTAATTTGCAACAGGCAGAGTGGCAATTTTAATCTTCTGTGTCCTTTTCAAAAGCCTCTGCAGTGTGTAACTGCAGAACATCAGGATGTTTGCTTGGACCTTCGTGACTTGTGAGGCTTTTGCTGACAGAAGCTGTGTTTCCATGCTGGGGTACTGTCGTGGTTTAAACCCAGTCAGGCAACTCGTTCACTCACTTCCCCCCCTTTCTTGCCCTCCCCCTGCTCTCGGAGGGATGGAGAGGAGAATCGAAAAGAATGCAACTCCCACGGGTTGAGATAAGAACAGTTTAGTAACTAAGGTATAACACAAATCACTACTGCTACCACCAATGATAATAATGATAAAGGAAATAACAAGGGAACAGAATACAACACCTCAGCACCAGCTGACCGATAACTCGGCCCCCAAGCCCGACCAAGCTCCAACCGATACCTCCTCCAACCCTGCAGTCCCCCAGCCCTTCCGGCTAACTCCCAGTTACCTCCTGGGCATGACGTGCTGTGGTATGGAATACCTCTTTGGTCAGTTTGGGTCAGGTGTCCTGTCTCTGCTTCCTCCCAGCTTCCCCTCCTCCCTGGCAGAGCATGAGGCTCACAAAGTCCTTGGCCAAACCAAAACATCTCTATCAGCTCTGTTCCCGAGCTGAAAGTCAAAACACTGCACTGCACCAGCTACCAAGGAGGAGAAACATGACTGCTACTGCTGAGCCCAGGACATTATCCACCCCTTATTCCATACCATTCACGTCATGCTCAGTTCCCACATTTTCAATATACCATCACTCTTATCTTAGTGCACTCTTATCTTAGTGCATGGACCAGTCCCTATAAAGCTGCTGCGTCCATCTGGTCCATGTCAGGCTCCATCTCTTGTAACAGTCTTCCAGAGCAGGAGAGACTGTGTGCAGTGTTCACACTCGTGAATAACCTGGGCAATAGTGTCCATTGCTAAGTCCACCCCTCGATCATGAGTCCATCTCTGTGTTGCATCTCTGCTCTGATGGCCTGAAGTGCCATGGGCCCACCAGGCTTAAAATAATTCACTGTCCCATTAAGCAGTTTCTGCAGCTTGTTGCTGGGGACTCCATACAGCTGCCTTCCATCTCCGACGCTTCCAAAGCACTGGAGGGGCCCAGTGGACTAGATACTTGCCCATACTGTCCCACACACCCTGCCACTCATGACTCTCCAGCCTTGGGGAAAATCTCTTGGTCCCCCTATATTGTTGTCTAACCCCAGACAAGACCCAAACCTGACTCTGCTTAACTTTTGAGATCAGATAAAATGGTTGTGGGTAGAACACAGTCTGTGTGTGTGCCAGCATGCTGATCCCCATCACAATCAGCAGGCAGGTCCCAAGGATACCCAAAGGCCATTCAAAACCTTCAGAACTCTCACACGATGCTGCTGTACTTGTCACTGGGGCTGGTGTAGCTGCTGTGCTTGCCGGCTCTCCCACCACCGGCTTCTCTTTTTCTGAGTCCAGCTCTTCCTCCTCTGCCTTGCTGGGAAATGCTGCGTGGTCTCCTGCATCCTCCTGGGGCTCGGCGGGCGGCTTCCGGGGAATGCTCTCGGCCGTCGCGGGGCTGGGCTCGGCCGCGGGGCTCGGCTCTTCCGCGGGGCTCGGCTCCTCCGCCGCCTTATCCCGCTGCTCGGCAGCCGCTTCCTTCCGCTCCTCGACCGCCCCGACCTCCTCCACCGGCAGCCGTCCCCTCGCGGCCTCCGGCCCCGCTCCCGCCGCCGCTTGGTCCCCGGGGCCGCTCTCCCGGGCCGCTTCAGCAGCCGCCGGCTCCCGGGGCCGGTCCCCCTCGGCTCCCCGCAGCCTCACGAAGATGGAGAGTAGGGTGAGGGCCAGGACGGTGAAGAGCAGCCGGACGGCCAGGTACAAGTCCACGGCCACGTCCGTCCCGCCCTGCTGCTGGAGCCCACCCGTATTACAAGCCGTTGCCATAAAGCACAGTGAGACAAGAACCTTAGCCCAGGCCCCACACTTGATAAACACTATCACAGCAAATACCGGCTCTACGTAAGTTACAACATTCTGAAGCTGTGAGATCAACAAGAACAACTCTGATACCCAATAAATCAGCATTGTGACGAGTGACTATTAATCCAGTCAAATCTGTCGTTATCTCAACCCTTCGTGCCCCACGTTGGGCGCCAAAAAGAACTGTCGTCGTTTAAACCCAGTCAGGCAACTCGTTCACTCACTTCCCCCCCTTTCTTGCCCTCCCCCTGCTCTCGGAGGGATGGAGAGGAGAATCAAAAGAATGCAACTCCCACGGGTTGAGATAAGAACAGTTTAGTAACTAAGGTATAACACAAATCACTACTGCTACCACCAATGATAATAATGATAAAGGAAATAACAAGGGAACAGAATACAACACCTCAGCACCAGCTGACCGATAACTCGGCCCCCAAGCCCGACCAAGCTCCAACCGATACCTCCTCCAACCCTGCAGTCCCCCAGCCCTTCCGGCTAACTCCCAGTTACCTCCTGGGCATGACGTGCTGTGGTATGGAATACCTCTTTGGTCAGTTTGGGTCAGGTGTCCTGTCTCTGCTTCCTCCCAGCTTCCCCTCCTCCCTGGCAGAGCATGAGGCTCACAAAGTCCTTGGCCAAACCAAAACATCTCTATCAGCTCTGTTCCCGAGCCGAAAGTCAAAACACTGCACTGCACCAGCTACCAAGGAGGAGAAACATGACTGCTACTGCTGAACCCAGGACAGGTACCTGCCCACTATTGACTTGAAGGGCTGGGGTTGTTGGCAGGCTGCCATGGGGAATTGGTGGACATCATAATGCCACTGGTCAAGTCCATGGCTCTCAGAAATAAAAACATGTGGAGCTCAAGCACTAGATTGTTTTGCAGGTGATACTACTCATCCCACATAGCGGGAAGTGCCAGGAGGTTCTGGCATGGCAGCTGCTGTGCACACAGGCAGTTAACTGCATTTCCTTCCAGCAGGCAGGAGCACAGTGTGCTGTGGATGTGGTGTGGCATACTATACACAGCTGTTTCTAGTACTGTCACTGCCCAGGAGAGTTACTGTTTAGGCCAGTTGCAGGACAGGAGGTTGCAGCAGCAGCTATGTGAGGGGGATGCTAAATGTAAAAAAGAAAAATCTAAAAAAAGCCAACCTATTTCTCTCTTTTTACCCTGCTCTTTCCTTAAGCAGCAAGATAAAAACCAGTTACATTTCAAGGTGTCATGTCATTGCTTTTGCTCTGTAGTTTGTTGGTCTCATTCATCCTTGCTGTGTGGCCAAATTCCCATTACCTATTACAAAGCCCTACTAGTGTCTAGCCTGTCACAAGGCTAAATACTGAAATTACTTCCATTTTCCTTAATCTTCCTTTCCTTTCCTTGAGTCTCTTAATTACTGAGCCTAAAGGCTTAGTCATACCTTATCCTCACATACTTTTCCTATATTTTTTCAGAGGTGCTGCTTGCTCAGGTATCTCAGCAAAGGACTCCTCACATCACTGCAGAGTGGCTAGGATCTGCAGGCCAGTACAGGAAAACCCATTTTTAAATGAAGATTCATTTCATTTCATTGTCATGTCATGTAAGGTTGCAGCTCACTGAGAGGCTTCCATACATCTGCACTTCTATTACCCTATTTAGTTACTGTGTTCTGTATGAGAAATTAAGGGGAAAAAATGGGCACATTTGTTTTCACAGTATTTTCCACTACAATAAATGTTGGAATGTGCTAAGGTAAGAGATTTGTGCAAAATTAATTACTCAGATTTATTTGATGTACATTCTTTTTAACTGCCAATGCTTTATTTTTGCTCTTTGCAACACTTGAGGATATGGATTTACAAAAAATAGTGTAGTGAACAGGAGGAGTCCTTACTCTTCAAGAGCTTCCATTCTACATCTCTCAGGGGAAGGTCAGTGAATGAAATGAGGGTGCTTGTGTTCCAATTTTAGAATTGTTCTAAGTAAGAATTGCTGATTCTTTGGAATAGACTGGCTCTTTCAGGAGAGAAGTGAAGGAAGACAGGGCATTTGCAATTACTAGCAGGCTTTGCAAGTTTAAATTCTGGCTGGAGAGAGGCCTGAAGTTGATAATGCATGAAAAGGGTTAAAGCAATGGGGCAGGTACTAGATTGGTATGTAGGATTCAGGACAGGTTGTAGGAGGGACAGTATTAATATAACTTGTGAAATTGGGTGAAAATAAACAGCAGCACTGTTTATAGAGTGCTGGTGACCGGCTGTAAGCATATGAACTGCATAAATCAGGTTGGTTGGATGATACCATACTACAGCTAGTCATGTGTAATAAAGGTTGTCCTACTTTTTTTTACAGACAGATACAACTGGTATTGATTCTTTTGGATGAGATAAGTTGATACTGCCCCCCTGACACGAAAACACTTCTGGCTGTACAAAGCTTGGGTCCTTACTTCTGCACATTTGTTTGATCAGATGAAAGAGTGCTACCAGAGGTACAAACGCACAAGGAAGAACAGCTAACAGCACACAGATGGCCAGTACCCAAGGTGGATACACTTTCTCCTCTTTCATAGGGAAGCCTTCCTATGGAGATAAAAAAGCAAGCAAAAGAAATAATTGGTATGTACACTTACATTTTGCTAACATTTCCATTTGCATTTTCTTATGCTGTTATAGCAAGGACAAAAGTTTTACTCCCAACAACAAAAGTTTTACTCCTGCTCCACAGTAGCACTCAGTGGCCATGTCCTCTGTATACCCTTCTCATGGGTTTAAAGATGACTGTAATTGTTTTATAGTTTCAAAGATTTACAGCTGGAATTGTGTCAAATTCCTGGGGCTGCAGAGGTTCCCTGAAGTTATCAAACTTCTACTCTCTTGCTTAAGCTCTGATTATTCTTGTTAGTACTCAAAGCTTATCTGGTTTCAGCAATCATTGAGCATGCTGTTATCCAAATAGGGAAGATTTAAATTAGAGATTTCAAGGGAATTATGATAATGACATTTTTGCAAGTCTGTGGCTATGAGTTTTATTTTGGGATGGTAATTCTCCATGGATTTTGGAGGAGACACTGCTGCAGTGTAATCCTCATGCAGTTTAAGACCAGAATCAATCTTCACACTCCTATGCAGGGTGTATTTGAGAGGGATCCAAGAAACTGCAACTGACAGTGACATCCAGATCAAATGGTCTCAACAATGACATGTCTTTGATGCTGAATTAGATCAACACTGTTCTCAGACTGCTGCCTCCCTTCCTGTCTGCCTGTCAAATACATATTCATCAGGACCCCAGCGGTATGGGTAGTTCTCAGTGAGAAATATTTTCATGCCTGGCATCTGTTATGCAGCTCCAATGCTCTGCTCATACATTTGTTCCACCTCTGAACCTGCTGTAGGTGTGGAGCATCTATGAGACATCTTCTTCAATAGTAGTCTGCATTACACACATTGATAAGATATATGGAGCATGAAGTATGCGGGACTTCTCAAGAAGAGGCTCTTGGCAGAAACACTTTCTAGCATGTGTAACCTCTGTACATACTGCAGCCTTCTCATTCTGCGCATTGCATCACTTCAGGCTACGTTATGTGGGTAAGCAGTAGGTGGTAATGATTCTAAAGGATCTAATAAGGGAGAAAAAACATAAACTCTTGGCGTTTATTAAAGTTTTGAAAGTATTTGGGAACATACATATTTAGGGTTCCAGGCTGCATAACTTGATGGCCTCTGTATCTGAAGAGTAACAAAAGCCAGGAAGACGATTAGCAGGAGCAGAGGGCTAATAAACCTCCATGTGATCTGCCAGTAGAGATTGGGTTTTCGTCCAGTCATCCATTTCACATCTTTACTGAACCTTTTAAGAGGAGGCAGATGTCAGATCTAAGTCAGAAGAGTTTCACTTTTTCATATTTTTCTGTAAGTTTTAAACACTTTCATAACTAAGTTTTAAACAACTTCTGTGCTATTACAGTTTCCTAAATCTTTTCCATTTGCTTCTTTAATAACTTACTGCAGACTTAAGTAAATAATAATATCAATAAAGTAGATGATTCATCCCTGGTAGACATCAATAAAGACCTGTTTACATTGTCAGTTTACATTACTTGAGCACCAGTCTAAAGTTTCTAAGCACAAATAAGGGATGAAAATATTACGGCAGTAATACGATACAGCAACTTGAACCAGCATCCTTTGCAGTCAGTAGTGGCAGTCATTTGGACACGGAGCTGATTTTTTTACATATACCTCTTACCATTTTATACATCGAATGAGCAGTAGATATATGTGGTTCTCGGTTTGATAGTTACATGATAACCTGTATCTATCAAGATGGGAGGAGTTTTGTAGTCTGGAATAGAAACTGTGATTTTTGTGCATGTCTGTGTTCAAACACTGGCTTTGTTTTCATAGAATCATAGAATGGTTAGGGTTGGAAAGGACCTTTAGATCATCTAGTTCCAACCCCCCTGCCACGGGCAGGGACACCTCATGCTAAATCATATCACCCAAGGCCTCGTCCAACCTGGTCTTGAACACTGCCAGGGATGGAGCATTCACAACCTCCCTGGGCAACCTATTCCAGTGCCTCACCATCCTAACAGGAAAGACTTTCCTCCTTATATCCAATCTAAACTTCCCCTGTTTAAGTTTTAGCCTGTTATCCCTTGTCCTATCACTACAGTCCCTAATGAAGAGTCCCTCTCCAGCATCCCTATAGGCCCCCTTCAGATACTGGAAGGCTGCTATGAGGTCTCCACGCAGCCTTCTCTTCTCCAGGCTGAACAGCCCCAACTTTCTCAGCCTGTCTTCATACAGGAGGTGCTCCAGTCCCCTGATCATCCTCGTGGCCCTTCTCTGGACTTGTTCCAACAGTTGCATGTCCTTTTTATGTTGAGGACACCAGAACTGCACACAATACTCCAGGTGAGGTCTCACAAGAGCAGAGTAGAGGGGCAGGATCACCTCCTTCAACCTGCTGGTCACGCTCCTTTTGATGCAGCCCAGGATACGGTTGGCTTTCTGGGCTGCAAGCACACACTGCCTGCTCATGTGCAGTTTCTCATCAACCAACACCCCCAAGTCCTTCTCCGCAGGGCTGCTTTGAATCTCTTCTCTGCCCAACCTGTAGCTGTGCCTGGGATTGCTCCGACCCAGGTGTAGGACCTTGCACTTGGCATGGTTAAACTTCATGAGGTTGGCATCAGCCCACCTCACAAGCGTGTCAAGGTCCCTCTGGATGGCATTCATTCTCTCCAGCGTATCGACCGAACCACACAGCTTGGTGTCATCGGCAAACTTGCTGAGGGCGCACTCAATCCCACTGTCCATGTCAGCGACAAAGATGTTGAACAAGACCGGTCCCAACACCGATCCCTGAGGGACACCACTCGTTACTGGTCTCCAGCTGAGCATTGAGCCATTGACCACAACTCTTTGTGTGCGGCCATCCAGCCAGTTCTTTATCCACCGATAAAGAGAACATTTAAAGCAATTTTCAGCTTGCAGGTTGAGCCTTTTAACATGGGGAATTTACTGCATGTTGCTTACTATGAAGTTTGAGGGGAAAAATCATTAAAAATATCAAAAGAAAAAATACAAGAGTACAAAACAAAAGGGCAGTAACAGGAGGATGTTTGAAAGGCAGTGTAACTCCTCTTGGCCGAAGAACTACAATAGCTGGTGACTTGCTAGCTTTAAACTTAAGATCTGCCCTTCCATAAGTACCATGCAGAGATTACCCCTCCTGTTTTACAAATATAGGAGACTTAAAGCAAAGAATGATAACTACAGTCGCAGAACTGGTAAGTGCTACAGAAATAACTTAATATTGCATACCTGTATGTAACAAACACGGATGGAGAGTAAAATGCATGTCTCTTATGGCAAAAATAATTGTCTGTTTCCAACATACCTTTTAATTTTATAGACATATGCAACCCCGACCACTTCAAAGAAGGCAATGACTAGAAGAGGCACCGTGCCTGCATAGCTGTCAAAAATGTCAATCCAGTAACTCCCCGAACCCAGCGTAAAACACAGAGCAATGAGGAAAGAAATTAGACATATTATACCTGAAGAAAAAAAGATATCTTTGTTACTGGAGTACTGAACTGAACTTAGTAAGTATATTTTTGTTCTAAATTAATTTTGTTCTTGTTCTAGTGATTTTTATTCTCTCTCTGTGGAGCTACAACAAGCTACTTTTCCCTTAGGGGAGCTGATATCACTTCCCAAACTCAGTTTTCCACCATGTGTTGGCCAAGAGGCACCACCCTGTTGCAGGAGGAACGCGCTTGTATGATTCAGAGCATCCTTCAGTTTTTAATACGTTTAGCAGATAGACTGGGCTGGGCTGGGCTGTCTTACGCTAAATTTTGACTGATGTAATTCCATGCAGTCAATAGTCTGCATTTCCATGCAGTCAATAGTCTGCCTTTCCATGCAGTCAATAGTCTCAGCATGCAGCAGCCAGCACCTAAGAAGTGTAAGGGCTCCCTGGATTTCTGCCCCCCACTTCCTCAAAGGGCCCAGAGCTGCAAATGTGTTATGTCCCTTGTGTCCTGGTGTGTATTGGTCTAAGTTTCATCACACTCTGTACATTCAGTTCTCCTTTAGCCAAGATATGGATTTAGGGTAATTGAGAGAAAATGTAGAAAGGAGGGAAAGTGTTGCTGAATGCAGACATGGACTGTAAATCAGTT